GTCCTATTTATATGTTTCAAATAGGCTATTATCTTGACCAAAGTGATTGCGTTCTCTTTTTTCCACTCATTATTATTGTCACGTGACAAAAGATCGGCCATACAAAATTCCAAAAATTTCAATTCATCCAATTCGTTCATTTTTAATACAGTCAGGGAATATGCTAAATTTGGTATTTCCTAATTTATAAATGATAAACGTTCTGGAAATTTCTTTAGAAGAAATTTTGATTGGCTAAAGTTATGCAGATCCTTTTCTTAAACTCTGTAATAAATCAAAATGGAACAAAAATTTGAATATATCATTAGGCTTCTATCCAAGTGAGTTTTTGAATACCATAATAATATTATTAGATCAACAATGAAATTTATAAACAGAGTTGATCATAATCAAAGATAGGAGAGATATAATTATATAGAGGATTAGTAGAATAATTATTAAAAAAAAAAGAAAAGAGTAATAGATTTATTTTTAAATGTGAAAGAATTTTTAAAAAATACAAATTTTTATAATTAACATTAATATTAATGGTGTAGTTATGTTTTTGCTTTGTAATTTTTTTATATATAAATAATAAATATAAAGTTCACTAAACTTTTAAACCACTGTACTTACCTGGACTTACTTTATTTATAATAAAGCTAAAATTCTTGCTGTGTAATTCCTGGATATCCTAAATCATCATGGTAATCAAGTTCATTATCTATATTAAACAAATTAGTTACCTCTTGTAATATAATTAGCAATTCACTTCGATTTTTTGACTTTATTGCATGATAATTTTTTCGAATATTTTCATCCATTTGTTCAAGGAGAGTTTCTATCTTGAATATTATTTCTTTTTTTGACAGATTTTCTTCTTTATTTTGTGCAATATATTCTTCTTTAGTTATTGGAATTGGCCTAAATAAAGGAGCTTTATTTTTCTTATAAAATACTTCCATAATATATTCTTGTTGTTTTTTTTTTGCTATATAACTAAAATTATTTAATTGATCACTTAACTCATATTCTTCACCTAAACTTTTATGAATAGCCCTTGTTTCCATTGGATTAATAAAATTAAGATTTCTTAAATAAGCTCGAAACCTTTGACATTCTGCAATTGGTTCAGGGCAAGTTCTTGGTCCAGATGTATGTATATCATTACATCCAATTGTTTCAAAAAATTTGTTTCGCAACTAAATATATATATAATAATATCACAAAGTAAATCAAAAAGTCAATTTTAAAATTTTAAAATTTCATATTATATAAAAGTTAAAATTATGTTATTACTAGAAAGAATTTTTTGCAATTACGTGCTGCAATTATCCAATGACGTTCTTGAGGAACTGGAGGTATTAAAGTTTTCAGGGCTTTATTCACTTCTTCTAAAATAGCATCCATCCCTTGGTGTTGGTTATATAATCCTGAACGAGATACTACAGAATTTTGTTCAATCATATCACATATTGTTGGATGAAGTTTT